AAAAGTGTGTCAACCTTGCAAACAATATGAACATTTTAATGATTCAAGAAATTCCCCTTTGTTCATTACCTACCCTTTCAAAGATTTGTATGGCCCTATTTCTTTCTTGGCCTGTTCTCTGTTATTTATGGCCAGTTTAACTTTATGCCAATAGCATCTTTAGCTTCTTGTCGAAGAATGTAGCATAGATCTATCCAACCTTGTCACTTCCTTGTGCTCATCAGCTGTTACATGCCCACCTGTACCAGAAAGAAAGCAATTGGGGAGATTACTTTCTTATGATAAAATATTGCCTCTTTACTAGTTTCAGTATCTTTTCATGCTGTGTTTAGTAAGCCACTATATCAGTTCTTTGGCTTATACTGTGGAAGGCAGATCTTAGCATTTGCTGTTATAATTAATTGTTAAGCACAAAACTTCCATATTCAAATACAATGAATCATTTGATATCAGGAATTATCTGGAACAAGTTAGTATAAATGGTGACCAAAATTTTAAATCAAGGAATGTTTTGATTTGTGTTACAGTTTCTTGTGGACTGCAGGAGACTTTCTAGTCTGCCCTCAATAAGCTTTACCATTAAGCAGAAAGAATTCACATTAACACCAAAGCAATATATAATTAAGGTATGTATCCAAGCTTTAATAATGCTCATTTAATTATCACTTAATAATTTTTAATATAAATGATGCTGTGCTTCTATGGTTAGATGTCCTAGAGGTAGATTTTTTAAACATATTTTATTGGAGTCTACTCATCTAGTTGAAATGTTAATACATATTGATAGTCCATGTATGATATGCCATATGCTAAACAAATAAATAATGAATATATTTTTTAGCACCACACAATGAGCATAAGTGCAGATTTTCATACGCATGATTTTTGACACAGAATATTATTTTGAAAGGGTTCAGAACTCAGCTCAAAGAACTTTTTATATATTGATCCTTATCTTCTATGTATCAGTTCCTATTTGCAGTCAGAATATCCTACTTTAAGTTTATTTTCTCCTTCAGTAAATACATTTTCTCATTTGGTGATGAGACTGTACAAAGGATGAACTCTGGAGGTAATCATCCTTAGGTAGGTGACAGTAATATTTGGAAACAAATGGATCCTTTTGCCCTCAGTCTAAAGAAGAGGCCTCATGCTCCAGCTGTCTAGTCCAATTGCCCCAAGACTTGAGTGGCAGAATTTCCATTAATCTGTTCTATTCATATGTAATTATAAATTAATACTTATGTTAAGCTGGCCTTTCATGAAGCCATGCAATAATTAGGCATTAGTTCAGCTCAGATTCAGTGCAGGCACAGGCAAAATGACCAGATACATAGTTGTATCCATCTAATGAAAGATTCTAATTCAAAGGATAAGAGAGACCAAACCAAGAGACAATGATTAGATCATACTGATGTGATGGTAATCCAAGAGCAAGTATCCATGGTGAGAAGTTGGCTGAAAGAGTTTAATGGGCCTATCCAGTGTACCTCAACTGGCTTCCAGGAGAGGTAGAAAAGAGCAGTTGGTGTCTCTTCTCCAGATATAGCTGAACCAGAATCTCAAGCAGCTTCAGCCAACATGGCCATTGGGAACATCCGGAGAGGCACACACTGATTACCTTGATAGAATCAGCTGTGTGTCAGATGTTGCCTGAATGGCATCTTTTCTTCACAAGATAGGCTGTCTCTTGGCAACTGATGGTTACATTTAAGGTTTTTGGGGAGTGAGGACCACAGTGGAAGAAGTCTTCCTTCCAATGAGGGTGGTATTAGGATTTTCTGCTTTTTCTGGATTTTGGGCAGTTCTGAGACTTTTATTATTATTTTAAAACTCAAGTATATTTTAGGACTTAGTCTGCTAATGTTTCAATGGGAAAATCAGGCCACCGAGTTTGGCAACTATGGTCAGAGGGAGGCATCAGATTAGAAACTAGAAGCCCATGAGTTCTAATCCCATCACAGAGCCAGCTGGGTGAGCTTGGGTCATCTCTCAGCCCTAGGAATCAGAAAATGGCAAATCACTTCTAAAAAACCTTGCAAAAAAGCCTTCAGTGGCTTCTGCAAGTAGTTGCCAGGAGTCAAGACTGACTTTAAGGTATTAAAAAAAGAGGGGGTGAAATTATAGTACATGGATCAAACACAACCATAAGATTCAATGGATTTTTTTTTTTTGCAATTTTGCCTAGTGTGCTAAGATTGAGTTAAAGTCCCACCTTAATCATAAAACTAGCTGAGTGACCTGGGGCAAGTTATTCTCTCTAAGCCCTAGGACGGTGGCAATAGCAAACCACTTCTAAAAAACCTTGCCAAGAAACTTGTAGGGACTAGTCCAGGCAAGCCACCAGGAATCAAGACTAATTTAAAGGCAGAAAAAAAGACAGACAAGATGAGGGATGTGGAGGGGAGGGGGAAAGGAAGGAAAGAAAGAAGGGAGGGAGAAAATCCATGAGTCCATATGCATATTGTACAAGTGTTGAATTAACATGAACAAGTTTTCAAAATTGTTGATGAGCTGTATTTTAAAATAAGAAAATATGAAATTTGAATATAAATGATTTTTACTAAATTTATTGGTTCAAAAATGGAAAATTATAGATAACTTACATTCTAATATCCCCAATCCTACAAGGTAATCATACATTAAAGGAAATGCACTATCATCTCTTCTCTTAACCACCCACGCTCTTCTTATTAATTTCATCGCATTTAGTTTAAAGGGACCAGCAAATTTTCTCATCACCATAGCCCTCTATTTCGGGTCCCGCACATGTTACCTAATGGCAGTCTTTGTTTCTCTTTGGCAGGAATACAGCAGATATGAGGCCTTGTGTTTCAGTGGTTTCCAATCACTGGATCTCATCTTTAATGAAGAACCATTGTGGATTCTAGGAGATGTATTTATGTCTGGTTTTTACACTGTTTTTGATCGTGGACATGATAGAATTGGCTTTGCTAAATTAGCTCGTAAAGGAAGGCGAAGAAATCAACAGAAATAGTAAAGCACCATAGGTAGAGATAATATTGATAATTTTGCCTTTCACACAATGAACAAGAATTTCTTTTGATATGTGGAGACAGAGTGGGGAGAAGAAGGTGTAAAAGGATTTAACTATTGGGAGTCCACTTTTACAGCCTGATTCTGATCCTTCTGTGGTCATAATGGAGGTGTAGCAACTTCTTCCAACCTACTGACTGTCAGATGTGGCAGGGTTAACAGGTTGGAAAACTATTTCTCCAATTATTGTAGAACTATTTATGATTGAAACCCTAATACCTATCAGGTAGCCATATTAGAAATAGCTGAAAAAAGTCTTCAAAAGTCGTAGAGCTGAGCCATTTGGCTTAGCTAATTTACATTTACTTGGATCATGATGTATGTTCATTTTTGTGTGCAAAGGACGGTATGGTAGCCTTAGCTTTCAATCCTATATACAGTATACTTAGATGAGAAACAAGCTTTTGTTCTAAGGCAAAAGTTATCGTTATTCTGTGGATTAAATTATTACTACCCAACTGGTACATGAAAAATTACTTATCTGGAGTAATTATGTTACAGTTGATATAAAGCACAGGAGGGGAATGATGGCTGGCTCAGGAATTCTCAGAGTTGAAGTCCACAAGTCATAAAAGAGCCATCATTTCCCAACCCTGAGTAAAGGAATATTGTCTGACAGGCCTGATTTGGCCTATGGGAGTTTCTTCCCTTGTTTTGTTAAATTCTTTTCCATTTCCCACCTCATTGCCAACAAAGGCGGCAGATCTTTAGCAGAGAGAAGAGGCATTTTCTCACTGTAGACTCAGACACCGGTATAATTAATTAGCTGGGTTTGTGGCTAGATAAGATTCCCCTTGTCTGCCCTAAAGATAGGCAAGATATTTGAGACTGCTACCCAATACATATTTACAGGTGAATTTGTTTCATTAAAATCAGAGATGCTCATTTTTGGTAAAAATTAAAATATCATTGTAGTTAAGAAGCCTTAAAAATAGAATTGCAGATATAGAATTGCTGAAATTGATATAAGATTTATTCCTCAGGATCCTACATCCCAAATCAGCCACTTTCATTGTTTTTCATAAGCCAGATGTGCTCAGAGATATTGTTTCATAAGCCAGATGTTTTCATAAGCCAGTTGTGTTCAGAGATAACATTTCACCTCAATTTCCCCCTTTTGTTCAATCTGTTTTGGACTTTCAGATATACGAATAAAGTTGATTAAGCAAATAACTTTCCAAGTCATTTTGTTTCAAGTTAATTTTACCATTTTGTTTACACCCGCTGGAAAACCCAAGTCCTGCTTAGCACTAAATTGTGGATTCTGTTCCAAAGTAGGCAGCTGAATTCCAAAAATTCTCTCAGGCAGTAGAATGAAACCAGTCCCTTTTTGCTGATGAGGCCCTGAAGGTAATAGTGAACTTTCCTTTATGCTTTTCTTAAATGCCCATCTTATACCCCATCCTTCAATATAAAAGATGAATGAAGCTATGACATGCATTTCTTTGCGATGTCATTACAACTTCAGAATATTCTCCTATAAGCAACAATTGTATTGATATTTTGGCAATATGCCAATATTTTAAAAAGTCATTGCTACATTTACCTCTTTTCAGTCTTTTAATATTAAGGACATAAAAGTAGAATTCCAAACTTTAATTACAAGAGTTTTATAAGAAACAGGATATTCTCCAGGAGTTTCTCAGCACAGCAGTGCAAGGAATGTAAACATGCAAATTGCCTTTCTCTAAGTCAAGAAAGCCCAAAATATCTTTATGTAGGGGAAGAACTTCAAGTAAGAATGGGTATGAAATCTGTACTCTTTGTCTACCTGTCATCTGGTCATAAAGCTTCTATTACAAAGACTCTAGTTCTTAGTCTTATTTTTATACTTAAGTAGAAATGACTGTCTATTTCATACCTGTCCTGAGGGAACATCATAGTTTTTTACTATCTGATATGTTTCTGTGATTCAAAGCTTTCAGGCACTCTATTCTGAGCATCTTTACTTATATAGATGCCAAAATTCTAGTTGTCATGCCTTTATTTAAGCAACATCAAGCAGGGATTAGTTTTAGAGATAATTTTCACTGATAAATACTCAGAATTACTGCCAAATGAATTAGGTTGTTGCAAAGAGAAATAATGCCAGTTTCTTGAAGTTTATTATCCTCTCTTTCCTACTCGTTTTAATATGTACTCCACTGTATCTTAACCTTGTTTGATTTTCATTTACATCTGTCTAAAAATAAAGGTAAGTTCAAACATTTTAAAATTGTTTTTATCAAAATAAAAGCACTGAAAATACACAGTAGGATAGACATTATGCAGGCTGCCAAGCTTCGTTTCTCCAAGGGAAATTAACATTCTGTGTGCCAGAAGTTTATAACAAAACTATAGTCCATAGCACTCTATTTGTCAAAGGTGATCTTTAGTAGAGTCATTGTTAAACTCAGCTATATGAAGAATATCGGTTTCTTTAGTATCTGGTTGTGCTAGTAAGTAAGATATGTCAAATGTATTTGGAGAATTAGGACTAGGTGTAGGTATGGTGTCTGGACTTAAATTGTTTTTTCCAGAGGACGTTGCCAATTCTTTGGTACTGAGCACTTCATGTTGAGCAAGAACATCTGGAAATCTCCACCTTTGATTATCTGTTGTATCGACAGTTGATGTTTGAGATGAAGATGATTTATTTCCTTTTGGCATACCCAAAGATGGATCCTGTTGTTTGGATTCCATATGAGGAGGTTCTGTTTCTGAAGGTGTTACCAACAAATCTGCATTACTTTTGGGTGTTGCACAATGGGTCATCACAATTCCTTCAGAATCTGTCTCTGACTCACTTTGACTGCCCAAATCTTTTCCTGTCACGGCATGGGAGACCTTGTTTGAATCCATTCTGGTTTCTTTGCTCTCAGTTTTGGCAGTTAGTGAGTCTACTTTGCTAATTCTCTCATCCACTTTGGATTGATTGGAAGTCTCTAGAGCATCATTCTTGCTGCTTTCTCGAATAATACTAAGATCCGTACTTCCATGCATCTTTCCATTCTTATCAGACCAGTTATACATTCTCCTGCCATTTAAAGGGAAGTGTCTCCCTCTAGAGTGCATTTCCAGAAGATTATCAATATGATGCATATCATGTGATGGGGAAAAAATTGAGCTTTCACTGGATTGTCGTTGGTAGGTCCTCCTGCTGGGCGAAGGGGAGACTTCTCGGACACTCAGAAAGCGTTTCACTTTTCGCAGCACCGAATGCTGCCTTCTAGGTCTATCCTCATCCCGGAGCCAGTTTTCTGCAGGGAAGAACTGACTGTCTGCCAGGCTGCAAGAAAAAAAACATGCAACATTCATTTTATGTAGGCTTCACAAAACTATCCATAAAATGTAAAGTATATTTGCAGATGTACTTCTTGGGAGAACCTTGACCTTTACCATTGACAAAGGAAAAAACTCTGTAAGGACAAATGGAACCTTTAGTCCTCAGACAATTTCAGAAAGGGGAATGCAGTGGATTTTCTCTGAAGAGACACGGCTGGGTGACTAATAGACAAAATGCAGGCCCTAACTTTTTGCAAATCCTATTTGAATTTTATCTATTATTACAAATAATTCCTTAAGTAGTAGTATAAATACAAAAAATAGTTTAAATACTATAATCATATTAGATCTGCAATCAACCAATTATTTATTATTGCTTGTGTGCTGTCCAGACAGTTTAAAGTTAATGGGATTTGGGATAGTTACTTAGGAATTGTGAGCTGTTCCCTTAAGGGAATGCACCATGGTAAATGTAGTTAAAGGTATCCTGAGAAATGTAGTCCATGTCACGTGATCACATCTGTAATCCTGAATGGTCACTTTATTGACCCTTGTTGGGTTGGGGGAGGCTCCCTCACTCTTGCCTGAAACCACCATACCATGCGGCTGCTTCAATCATCATGGGGTTGAGATCTTTTTATCTTTTTACATTACAAGACAGATATGCAATGGATTGGACATAAAGAAGAACTTTATCACAAATGTGAGTTATATGCTTCAAAATCAGGGAATAAAGGTTAGTATGGGAGCAAGGGCGGATGGGTTGGTCCAACAACAGAGTGTTGGAGGAAACCGGTTTGGTCTCCGCTGCTCATCAGCACTACAGACTTGGCAGAGCCAGGCCAAACCGGTAGAATACCACCAGTGGTTTAAATGCTGTTCATGGTTTTAATCAGTGAGTCAAAAAGCCGTGAGCCGATCAGTGAGCCAAAAAAAGTCAAAAAAAATGTTTCAATTTGTCTAATCTGTCTACTCTTCCGCCAGCTCAATGAAGGGTAGGCCCATCCATTTTATCTCCACAACAAATCTCTGAAACAGGCCAGCGTGAGAAAGAAAGAATGGCCAAAATCTCCTGTCTTGAAGGCTGACAATGTCATTTATTCATACCAGAGTTCACATCACACAATTAAACTAAATAAAAATTCAACTAAAAGCTAAGATCAACCAAAATATAATTCTTAACTAGGTCCAAGAAAACATTTATTCAACTGACGGAAGAAAATACAATCTTTTATTACTAAAAAACTGTTCCTTATTAGCAGACTTTCAATGGTCATGTTAGGGGGAATATAATTTTAGATGAACATGACAAGTAAGGAAAGGTCCTGTCTGTCTAACTTTATTTTTTAAAAAATGACAAGAGGCTGCTAACGATACAATACATTTTTATATGAAAAAGAAGGATAAGACAATGAAGATTTGCATACCCCATTTCAATAGTTGATCCAAGAAAAGATGGAATGCAGGAATCTGCAGCTGCTAATGTATATGGTGGACGAGCAGAAGAATCATTCCAGTAAATATCTTTTTTCATTCTTGGTAAATTCATATGCATTTCATCAACAGCCAATAGTGAAACCTATAAGAATTATAATACTTGTCACATAGTTTTAAACACCTCAAATGTACGTCACAATCCAGAGAACTGCACAACACAACCGTATCATTTTTATTGAAAGCAGCAGCACTTTTCTGGGCCAAAAGGAGAGTTTGAAATGTGGTAACCGTTTAAGAGGAAATGAATTTTAGAGGATGCCTTTTAGATCTTGGATATCCAGTAACTGTGTGAGACGGCCTTGCTGTAGCCTTACCTGCAATCAGAATGAATCAAATTAGAACAAAAACTAGACTATTTCAGAAGGGGAGAATCCTGTTGCAAGACCTAATGCATATTATTAAAGAGTCAGCTTATGTCATGTGTTCCTGATATAAGACATTCTACCTGAGAAGTCTACAGGTCGCCAAATCTAATGCATTCCGACTACTCCCACCAGCATAATTTAAAACTCCCAGGAACAGAAATGCTCAAAAGAGGGGGAAAAATCCTTAAGTATAATTTGGAATGGCTCTTTCATTATGTTTTAATGTTGCTAGAATATTTCTTTCTCAGTTTCTAGATATTTTATTTTATTTATTTAATTTGTCAATCACTTACAAGATAATAGGTTTAAGTATAAGCATGAGTGAGAATACAGGAAATAGGTACGAATAAATGGGGACAATAGGACAAGGACGGTAGGCACGATGGTGCACTTATGCACACAAGGTGTTTGAGATATGCTCAAACTTCTTGCTGAACAGCTCCATTATTGCTTCAGCAACCTTGCCATCTTACTCTACTGGACAACACCCAGCAATATATCTTGAATGCCTTGATCCACATTGTAGCATTAGTTGCAGTTGCACATGAGAAGACAGTGTTTGTAGACCCCTTGATAGTAATGCAAGAAAGTTGTCTAAGCAGGAATTGAAGTGTAAATGAAAAACAGAACCAACAGCGAGGAAGCTTCAGCAGCTTGCAAAATGAGTACTGTATATGAAAACTGAACTATAAATAATTTTACTTTAATCTGGAAAATATTTATAAAGGTGGGAACAGAATACAACACTTTGTGCTATTTCTTGCTAGAAATTGCATAAATTTATGATGTCGCAAGACAGCAAAAAATAGTAATCAGCTGAAGCAAAAGCGTGTTACCTGGAGATTCCTATCTATGCA